GGCAGGGGATAAAAGGCCCGGCGGGGTCGGGGCTCAGCTACGGGGTCTGTGCCCTCCTGCAGCCCAGCAGAGCAGCCACCATGGTGCACTGGTCAGCAGAGGAGAAGCAGCTCATCAGCAGCGTCTGGGGCAAGGTCAACGTGGAGGAATGTGGGGCCGAGGCCCTGGCCAGGTACGTCCAGCTCGGGAACCTGGAGAGAAACCCGCCAGGGAAACCGAGGCAGCTGCCTTTGGGGGCATTAACACGTCTGTGTCCCTCCATCTCTCCCCAGGCTGCTGATCGTCTACCCCTGGACCCAGAGGTTCTTTGACAACTTCGGGAACCTCTCCAGCCCCACGGCCATCATCGGCAACCCCAAGGTCCGTGCCCACGGCAAGAAGGTGCTCACCTCCTTCGGGGAGGCCATCAAGAACCTGGAGAACCTCAAGGCCACCTACTCCAAGCTGTCAGAGCTGCACTGTGACAAACTGCACGTGGACCCCGAGAACTTCAGGGTGAGCCATGCTTGGGGCTTGGCCCTCTGTCTCTCCTTCCTCAGAGCACCTCAGCACTTGGGTGCTTTCAACAGGCATAAATAACTTATACTTTATTTACCAAACAGGAAGAGGTTGGCTGGGGTGGGCACGGGGGGAGTGGGGAAGGTTTGGCATTTGCTAATGCAGGGAAATACCAGGTTCCAGGCTGTGAGGACAAACCTGGGGACAAACAGGGAGATGCTCTGAAAGCCTAGAGACTTGTGCAGGCATGGCTTGAGAAAAGGAGAAGGATGTTGGGAGGCTGAGTGGGGCTGAGGGTGGAGAGCATGGAGGGAAGTCCCCCTGGCACCTCCTGGCCCCATGGACAGAGACTACTTTGTTGGGGATCATTTCATCTTCCCATTTCAAAGGCTGGCAGGCAGGGGAGGAGAGGGAAAAGCAAGTGTGGGGTGGTTTGGGGCTGGACGGGGATGGGAAGAGATGGAGACTGGGACTGGAGAGAGAGGAGAGGTCTGAGTGGGGGACAGGGTCAGCAGAGGAGGGGGGAGAAGGAGTGGAGTGAAGCCAGAGGTCAGGGCACAGGCACCCTCGCTGAGGGTGAGGAGAGGGAGCAGATCAGGCTGGAAGGGACTGGGAGGGCTGGATGGGGCTGGTGGCCTCTGCTTCAGCCTCTGCCTAAGCCTGGCTTTGGGGATGTAGCAGGGGGACCTCACACTGACCCTCTGCTCCAGCAGGTGTGGGGTTTCATAGCAGAAAAGAAAAAAGATAAAACATCTGGAAATAAAATCCAGAGGCTGGAAAATGCTACTTCCCTGGGTTGCAGACCCCGGGACCCACGGGAGAGCAGGGTCCCTCCAGCCCCTGGTCCAGGGGTGCTGTGCAGGACCGAGGGGTGCCAGCACCCTGCTGACCCGGTTTCCCTCCCTCCCTCCCCTCCACAGCTCCTGGGAGACATCCTGATCATCGTCCTGG